GGAATGTGTATGAGCTGATTCTTTTGGTTGTTTTCAGAAAATGTATACGCAGGAGACAGCCACTAATGAAGAGAAAAAAAAACACATGGCTGGTATTCATTCGAATGAGATGGCTCGCTTGAAAACGTAAGTTCTGTCATCAGCTACTCATTTAAATTAAAACAACACAATACTTCTGGGGCCTCATGTACGAAGACTTGCGTGGAAATCTTACTAAAACATTGCGTACGCACAAAGCTGTAAATGTGCGTGCGCAGAAAAAATTTAGATGTATGAAACACTGCGTACGCCGAATCTCACGCATATTCTCTTTGTACATCCAAATGAACGTGAAACTGAGCGCAACATGCACGAGCACAAAACCCCTCCCTGCCTCCTCCCCCGTATGAATATGCTAATGACTCTACTTTGGCAAAACCCAACAAAAAAGCAAAGGCAAAAGCAAGAAGAGGAGAAACTTTAAACAGAATGTGAATGTGAAGTGCTGCTTTCAGAGGTAGACCGGAGAAAAGCGGTGTTATTTGGAAGTTTGTCCTCCGGAATTAACAACAAAAGAAAACAATAAAGTGGGGAGAGTTTAACAGATGCGGTTAACACAGTTAAATCTGAACATCGCACTGAGTGAATTAAAAAAAGAAATAGTGAGATGTATAAGTGCTAAATGTTGCTGTACCCTTAACAGTCTGGGTGGCGCAGCTCGTAAAATGCATGTCAACATGTTTTGACATGTTCGAGCATGAACTGGGTTCGAATCCAGCGTCTGATGAACTCTTTCTTCTTCTTTCCTCGCTATATATCAGATTTTGCCCACTATTTATCACGAGAAAGACAAGTAGGAATCATCAATAAGTTTGTGCATCATGTTTTATTTGCACATTTATTGAATGGAAATGTTTCTGATTCCCGCATGCAAATTCATCTTCAGATAGTGTCTTTATAGCGATGTGTGTGCAGTAGATCGCTCAGATTACATTGGGAAAACAGGCGACCGCTGCAAATTGTGCTTTAATGTTTGGCTGGTCAACTGTATGGTATGGAAACCTTATATACCTGCTAGATGAACCCGTCTCATACAGTTGCCATTGCAAGGCTCAGACACTTTGTAGAGAGGAATTTAACACAACTGCCTCTAGGAGTCGCCAATGGAAATAAAACAGACACACACAAAAAATGTGCGTACGCCAGCCATGAAGCTGCCGTGAAGCTGCGCACATTCCCACGTTCAGTTCATCGTTAGTAAATCCAAACGTGAGCGATTCTGAGCGTGAAACCTGGCGTACGCAGCGTTGATACATAAGGCCTCAGGTGTTTTACGGCGTTCATTCATTTTCTTTTCAGCTTAGTCCCTTTATTAATCAGGGGTCGCCACAGCGGAATGAACCGCCAACTTATCCAGCATATTTTTTTTTAATGCAGCGGATGCCCTTCCAGCTGCAACCAAGTACTACTGGGTTTTTTTTTTTAGAGTGTACTCACACTATGCACGTTGTCTCCGTCTCCTCCTCGGTCTGCACTCACTCTGTATTTTACCATCTGAGCCAGAGCACACTTCCGTCATCGATGATGCAGTTTAACAGAAGAGAAACTCTCAGTCTGTACAGTGGCGATTGCTTTATGGTTTTGTATTGTTTTAAGTGGTGTGATATGCAGTGACACAATCAAATCTCCAGCTGAACAGATCCAGCACTCTTGATGCTCATAAATGATCATGAATGTCCTGGTGCTGCAGGTATTAGGAGGTTTGCTGAAGGTGTAGTGAGGGGTTTGCTCCTTTAACACACTGACCGTTCATGTTCATTGAAATGTACAGTTGAAAGCAGAAGTTTACGTACTCTAAAAAAAGGAGCATAACCATTTTTTGATAAATGTCTGATGGTAAATCAGACTAAACATTTACTATTTTAGGTCTGTTAGGATTACCTAAAGGATTTACATTTGCTAAATGCCAGAATAATGACAGATTTATTTATTTTTGCATAATTGTTTATTAATTTCTATAGACAGTCAATAGTTTACACGCATGTCCTTGGGATGTTTTTAGCTTTTGCTTTTAAACTGTATAACTTTGGTCAAATATTTTGGGTCTCCTTCCTCAAGCTAGTTTGCAGGAATTTTAACTCATTCCTCCTGACTGAATTGGTGTAAACGAGTTAGATTTGTAGGCTTGCTCGCACCATCTTTTCTATAGGATTGAGATCAGGGCTTTGTGATGGCCACTCCAAAACATTCCCTCTGTTGTCATTAAAGCACATTTTCACTAATTTGGCAGTGTGCTTAGGGTCATGGTCTGTTTGGAAGAGCCATTTGTGGCCAAGTTGTAATGTCCTGGCTGATGTGTTGAGATGTTGCTTCAGTATTTCTCCATAATGCTCTTTCTTCATGATGCCATCTATGCTGTGAAGTGGACCAGTCCCTCCTGCAGCAAAACAGCCCCACAACATGATGCTGCCGCCCCCATACTGCACAGTTGGGATGGTGTTCTAGGCTTGTGCGCTTTCCCCTTTGTCCTCCAAATGTATCACTGGTCTTTATGGCCAAACAGTTCAATCTTAGCTCCATCAGAGCACAGCACATGTCTCCAAACATGAGTCTTTTCCCAGTGTGATTGAGCTAATGGTAATCTGGCTTTGTTGTTGATTCTGGCTTGTTGATTCTCCATGTTGTCACACAAGGAAGCAGTGTGTTTGAGCTTTTCCTTCAACACTATTCTACAGTTGTGCCTCACATTAACTCAAATGTTGTCAATTAGCCAATCAGAAACTTCCAAAACTTCGACATCATCATCAGAGCTTTATCAGAGGCAGAATAATCTTATTGTGTGTAAACTTGACTTTCAACAAGAGTTACAACAATTTCTCAAACAATATCTCTCTCATTATTCTGCTGTTAAGCACAACAGAAACACATGAGATCATCTTAACTTACCTAAAACTGAAGTTTAGTCACATTAATATCTGACTTTTATTTGTTAAGGCTTATGTGCCTTTTTAAACTGTTTATGTACATTTCTGCTTTCAGCTGTAAGAATGATTAATACATCTATATGAAACAATCCCTTAAAAGTCACATCTCATCTTCAGGCTCAGGCACTTCAAGTGTAGCGCGCCAAAGCTCGACCGAACTGCACTGTGGCACACCTCCTCCAATCAGGTCAGGGTTAGCCAACTGAACCACACCTGGGCCCGATTCAGAGCACTCACACTTGTCAGACGAAATGGGGGTCTAACACGCCTGGGCACAGTTCCAATAGCCTTGTGTGAGTGCACCCTTACATTCTTCAAAGTTTCTTTTTTCATAACACAGGGTGGCACGGTGTCTCAGTGGTTAGCACTGTGGCCTCACAGCAAGAAAGTCTCTGGTTTAGGCTGGGTCAGTTTCCATGTGGAGTTTGCATGTTCTCTCTGTGTTGGTGTGGGTTTCCTCCGGGTGCTCCGGTTTCCCCCACAGTCCAAACACATGCGCTATAGGGGAATTGATGAGCTAAACTGGCCGTAGTGTGTGTGTGTGTGTGTGTGTGTGTGTGTGTGTGTGTGTGTGTGTGTGTGTGTGTGTGTGTGTGTGTGTGTGAATGATTGTGTATGAGTGTTTCCCAGTACTGGGTTGCAACTGGAAGGGCATCCGCTGTGTAAAATATGCTGGAATAGATGGCGGTTCATTCCACTGTGACGACCCCTGATATATAAGGGACTAAGCCAAAGGAAAATGAATGTTTATAACACTTGAGGGTGATTAAATAGTGAAAATTCTCATTGTTGGGTGAACTATCCCTTTAGGGACAAGAATCATTTGAGAACATGGTAAAAAGAAATTTTATTAAAAGTAATAATCCTGTTTTAAAATATAAATTGACTTTTTTTTTTAACTTATGTGATGCATCTTTTACAGTTTATAAAGAATGTTGGTAAATGAATATAGTTCTTAATAAATGTAGGTTATAAATATGTTAAATTGTGATACTAAATGATTAAAGGACATTATTTTACCTTCTTATTTTCATAAAAGTTATTTAAAATCTTACTGCAGATTAAATCTTGTTTTGTAGGCTGGATTTGATGTGCACGTTTCTGTCATCCCAAATTTATATTTGACAATTGCAAGTTTGTTTGTTGGTGTGTTCATCATTTCTGCTCATATAGGTGAAATATTGGGTTAATATCTTCATTAATTCTGCTCGTATGTTTATATTACATTCAGCTTGACAAGATACTGCACTCGTTCCTGCTCGCTGTATTGCATTTATTTGACTCGGTTTGATTTCTGAGCAGTTTTGTCCCTGGGTTAGACGTGGTTGGTGTGTTTCCATCCCCCAGTATCAGCAGTATATGATCACACACACACACACACACACACACACACACACACAGAGGAACTGAACACATCTAGATGCAAGTGCAAATCTTTATTCTGACATTCAAAGTTTGATCTTAAAAACTGTCAAATGAACATATTTAATAATGAGTGCAAATATTGATATGACATGAGTAAAGTACAGTTAGCAGAAGGATGTGTGTTTTGTATTAGTATGCATATGGTATGTTTCCACAAGGGTCTTTACAAATGAGCAGCTATAAGACATTGGGTTTGGTGTGTGTGTGTGTGTGTGTGTGTGTGTGTATATATATATTTTTTAATATGCAAACTTTGTTTCCATAAGGGTCTTTACACACAAGCAGATATAAAAGAGAGAGAGTGTGTGTGTGTGTGTGTGTGTGTGTGTGTGTGTGTGTGTGTGTGTGTGTGTGTGTGTGTGTGTGTGTGTGTGTGTGTGTGTGTGTGTGTGTGTGTGTGTGTGTGTGTGTGTGTGTGTGTGTGTATTACCATGCATACTCTATGTTTCCATAAGGGTCTTTACACACTGGCAGATATAAGAGATTAATTTTGTTGTGTGTGTGTGTGTGTGTGTGTGTGTTATGGGGTCTAGACAAGGGCTGCAGTGCATTATGGGTAGGATTAGACTCTCATTAGAGGAGCTTCAGAGGCTTGTGGTTTTTAATAGTCTG